AAATATCACATGGTCCTAATTATTCAGACCCTTTGCTGTGACACTCATATATTTAACTCAGGTGCTGTCTATTTCTTCTGATCATCCTTGAGATGGTTCTACACCTTCATTTGAGTCTAGCTGTGTTTGATTATACTGATTGGACTTGATTTGGAAAGCCACACACCTGTCTATATAAGACCTTACTGCTCACAGTGCATGTCAGAGCAAATGAGAATCATGAGGTCAAAGGAACTGCCTGAAGAGCTCAGAGACAGAATTGTGGCAAGGCACAGATCTGGCCAAGGTTACAAAAAAATTTCTGCTGCACTTAAGGTTCCCAAGAGCACAGTGGCCTCCATTCCTTAAATGGAAGACGTTTGGGACGATCAGAACCCTTCCTAGAGCTGGCCGTCCGGCCAAACTGAGCTATCGGGGGGGAAGAGCCTTGGTGAGAGAGGTAAAGAAGAACCCAAAGATCACTGTGGCTGAGCTCCAGAGATGCAGTCGGGAGATGGGAGAAAGTTGTAGAAAGTCAACCATCACTGCAGCCCTCCACCAGTCGGGGCTTTATGGCAGAGTGGCCCGATGGAAGCCTCTCCTCAGTGCAAGACACATGAAAGCCCTCATGGAGTTTGGTGAGATGGTGAGAAATAAGATTCTCTGGTCTGGTGAGACCAAGATATAACTTTTTGGCCTTAATTCTAAGCGGTATGTGTGGAGAAAACCAGGCACTGCTCATCACCTGTCCCAACAGTGAAGCATGGTGGTGGCAGCATCATGCTGTGGGGGTGTTTTTCAGCTGCAGGGACAGGATGACTGGTTGCAATCGAGGGAAAGATGAATGCCAAGTACAGGGATATCCTGGACGAAAACTTTCTCCAGAGTGCTCAGGACCTCAGACTGGGCCGAAGGTTTATCTTCCAACAAGACAATGACCCTAAGCACACAGTTAAAATAATGAAGGAGTGGCTTCACAACAACTCTGTGACTGTTCTTGAATGGCCCAGCCGGAGCCCTGACTTAAACCCAATTGAGCATCTCTGGAGAGACCTAAAAATGGGTGTCCACCAACGTTTACCATCTAACCTGACAGAACTGGAGAGGATCTGCAAGGAGGAATGGCAGAGGATCCCCAAATCCAGGTGTGAAAAACTTGTTGCATCTTTCCCAAAAAGACTCATGGCTGTATTAGATCAAAAGGGTGCTTCTACTAAATACTGAGCAAAGGGTCTGAATACTTAGGACCATGTGATATTTCAGTTTTTCTTTTTTAATAAATCTGCAAAAATGTCAACAATTCTGTGTTTTTCTGTCAATATGGGGTGCTGTGTGTACATTAATGAGGAAAAAAATTAACTTAAATGATTTTAGCAAATGGCTGCAATATAACAAAGAGTGAAAAATTTAAGGGGGTCTGAATACTTTCCGTACCCACTGTATATTAAAGCAGGGGTGTCAAACTCAGTTCCTGGAGGGTTGCCGCCTTGCAGAGTTTAGTTCCAAATGTTCCAACATTGTTTAAAATAGTCCATGTGACATCAGTGGTTCAACCTGAACTGTTGAATAAAGTCATTATTTTTGTTTTCTTTGCACATGAAAAGTATTCTCGTAGCTTCATAAAATAAAGGTTGAACCACTGATGTCACATGGACTATTTTAACAATGTCCTTACTAACTTTCTGGCCCTTGAACGTGTCAGTTGCATTGCTGTCTATGCAGGATTAGAAAGGATTTCATCAAAAATATCTTTATTTGTGTTCTGAAGATGAAAGAAGCCCTGTTTTTGAACAAAGACGTAGAGACTAAACCCATGTTTGTGTGGGCGGCTCACTAGGTTTGAATCAGAGCCATGATGTCAGAGGTGAATACTGACCAATGGAGAGTCTTCATAGATGATGATGCCATCTCTCACAGAGGGCTGCAGTGTTAAAGTCTGGACTGTAGTGTCTCTGTTGAAGCATACAAGATCAGAGCTTAGACTGTTTATCATGAACATCATGCATGTACTGTAAAAGATGACTCTGTTCACAGTTAAATCATAGCTAATATCTCTAGAGAGTGAGATGATTTGTGGATTCATACTTATGGGTCCTATAGAAGTATAAAGTAAACTGACCTAAATTCAGTGTGATGGACAGAGCGCTGTTGAGTTCTTGTGCAGGTTTGAAATGTGACACATATCTCTGTGGGCTTAGTGGAAAGGAGAATCCCTGAAGTGATTACTTTAGTCTAATTTAAGATTTCCATAATCGCTAACCAGGCCATAACACATGTGAGTTTGACTTTGGTTTAACTTTCAAGAGGAAACTTTCAAGATGACATCAACCTCTGCACCTCTATAGATGAGTGAGACACGGTGACATCTTATGAGTTTCCTTGACTTTTCCAGTTGTTTGTGATAAATGGATAACAAATCAGATTGCACTTACAAAGAAATAGGCAGATACGTTGCTGAGGATGACTAAAAATGCATAGTTTCTTTTACATGTCTTTTTCAGGGCTGGAAATCACAATTTTAAATTTCAGATACTCTACCGTTCAAAGGTTTGGGGTCAGTATGGTTTTGGTTTGTTTTTATGAAAGAAGTCTCTTATGCTCACCAAGGCTGTATTTATTTGATTAAAAATACAGTAAAACGCTGATATTGTGAAATATTATTACAAATTAATGTAACAGTTTTCTATTTTAATATATTTTTAAATATAATTTATTCCTGTGATGCAAAGCTGAATTTTCAGCTTAATTTCTCCAGTCTTCAGTGTCACATGATCCTTGTGAAATTATTCTGATATGCTGCTCAAGAAACATTTATTTTATTATTATCAATGTTGATAATGCTGCCTAATATTTGTGTAGAAAATGCAGTGCATTTTTTAGGATTCCTTGATGAATAGAAAGTCTTTTTTTATTGAAATCATTTGCAACATTATAAAAGTTAAAACAAACAAAAACTAATTCTTACTGATGCCAAATTGTTCAATGATAGTGCATTTTAACATTCAGTGACTGTGAGAACCCTGTTATAAGCACTTTATACTGGCATTAGAAAATACAGATGAATATTTAACTGTGACAAAACAGCTTATGTCATGTTGGTCAAATTCATTCAATACATTTATACTTTATTTACTGAAAAACCCTCATAGTCCAAAATATCCCGGACGAGCCCCCAGTATTTTGTCTAATTGGGGATCAGACTGAGAACTGAAGAAAAACTACAGCTTTTTGAACATTTTCTGCTCTTTTTGGCAATTTTTGAGAGGGATTATCAAAAGAATACATCTACTTTTGTGTTTCACAGAAGAAAGAAAAATAATAGCAGGGTTGGAACAAGGTTAAAGGTAAAAGGGATAACTACTCCTTTAATTGCAGTTCTTCAAAGGCAAAAGTACAACTTAAAAGTTCCCTCTGCCCTGTTGACAGGTGTCCTAATTTATCAGGATTAGAATAGCTCACTCGAGCCTCAGAGAGATCTTTTTATTTCAGGAACTCGGTGAGTCTGCAAAAGGAAGTTTCACCTTCTAATAGAAAACACTCATATGATGCATCCGTGTCCAGATGTTTATCGTTCTGATGAATAAAGGTGTCCTCTCTTTTGTCTCTGTTCTATTCATTTACAAAGAGGATACATTACTCACTCATTCACTAATGATGAAAAGCTGATATGGGCCATTCCCGGTGTGGCCCCATAACCAGGTTCTAATTGAGTCTACAGGAGAGTAGTTTCTGATAATAGGTCTTCCTTTCTGAGAGGGCTTTATTTGAGGAGAACTCAAGGGACTTCTTTATTTTACCTGTGAAGCTGAAGATATTCTCTTGGTCTGTTCATCAGATGCAAGAATCGATCAACAATCTTGTTTTTCCCAACGCCCTGTGAACAGAGTAAGAACATGGATTAAAAAATAGCTCGCCTATGAATGAAAATGTAATTTACTCATGTCATTCTGACCATGCATTATTTTCTTTCATCTTATTTCTAATGCTGCTGAAAATTCAGCTTTGCCATCACGATAATATAGTAACACTTTAGTATTGGGACCAGTTCTCACTATTAACTTGCTGCTTATTAGCATGTTCATTATTAATATATCGGTTGTTTATTAGTCTAAAGTCATTAATCTAAAGCACATATTCTGCATGACCATATACTATATCCCTTATCCTAACCAATACCTAAACCTAACAACTACCTAACTATTAATTAGGAGTTTACTGAGGCAAAAGTTGCAGTTAATGGTTTGTTAATAGCGAGAATTGGACCTTAAAATAAAGTGTGACCGATAACTTTACAGTAATATTTTTCACAATACTCTTGTTTTCAGAGTACATAAGAGCATGAACATAAGAAAGTTCTTTCAAAAGCATAAAAAACACTTTTGAACATTAGTGTATTCACAGGTCCCCTATTGCATTTCGTATGTCTAGCACACATTCATGTGTTCTGTGGGTCAATCAATCTATCCATCCATCTAAACTGAAGTGACAGCAGTCAGGACGCCCACTCTCTTTCCATACACAAACGCAGTAAAGCCTCGGGTCTCTAGTGCGGAGCGTGGGTGAGCGTCTGGGCAACGCAGGGCACACTGAGCTCTAGTTCACCCTGTAGCTGGTGGGCAGATGCTTTACAAACACAGCTGTGCTTCATGGCACGATGCCAGCGCTCTGGGCTAGTGCACTGTATGTCTGCTCTGCTCTGGGTATTGGAGTGGACAGAAGTCTCTGCAGACTGCTGTCCTGAGGATGGGAATCCTCGTTTACCTGGTTGCCCACAAGAAGCAGGTGTTCCCCCAACAGGAAGTCCTTCAGCATGTCCTGCATCACCATCATGTGCTGTGAACAAACAGACAAAACATATTTTATAGTGAGAGCAGTACAAAACACAGTGGGATTCAAGATATAAGACTTCTGGGATTTTTAAAGCTGGATATAAATAAAGTTTAAAAAGACAAGTTATTGAAAGGGACAATCAAGGTACAATGTAACCTCTTCTTGGTGAAATAATGTTATGAAGGATTACCAACTTTTAACTCTGCTTTATTTAAAGCAAAAATCCAGGTTACAGTAACGCTTACAATGGAAGTAAACCAGGATAGCATTCAAAAGGGTTTAAAAGGCAACATGTAAAGTCCTATTTTTGGTAAAGCACTAATAATATATGTAATTTAGTTAAAACCAGGATTATAATTTGACTTGCATGGCTGTCAAAATCATCTTTTTCAGCTGGGTCTACTTTTCTAAGTGGTTATTATAGGTATTTCTAGGTAACTAATAAAAAAGATTAGGCTATTGTTCAAAGGTTTGGGGCTGGTAAGATTTTTTTTTAAATGTTTTTGAAATAAGTATCTTGTGCTCATAAAGGCTGAATTTACTTGGTCAAAATATAGTAAAAACAATTATATTGTGAAAAATTATTACAAATTACTGTTTTTTATTTAAATATATTGTAAAATGTATTCCTTTGATGTCAAAGCTGAATTTTCAGCATCATTACTCTAGTCTTTAGTGTCACATGATCCTTCAGAAATCATTCTGATATGCTGATTTAATGCTCAAGAAAAAAAATTATCAATTTTGAAAACATTATTATACACAAATATTTTTTGTTTTGTTCAGCATTCTTTATTGAACAGAAATTTCAAAAGAACAGCATTTATTTGAAATATATTTAAAATTAGAAATAGAAAATAGATTTAAATTCGTTTTTTTTTTTAAATAATTATAAAAGCTTTTTTTTGTCACTTGTTCAATATAATGCACCCTTGCTAAAAAGTTCTTATTATGCTTTTTCACTTTTTCAACTTTAGTTAGTCTGTAATGTTGCTGTTTTAGCATAAAACAGATCTGCAAAGTTACAAAACTCAAAGTCCAATTCAAAAGGAGATATTTTATTGAACAGAAATCACTTTTTAAAAACTACAACGAACGACTCGTTTGGACTACAACGCATATTTTCCGGGATTTGTGATATCACAAATACTGACGAATGGGACGAGACCTGGTTGAGCTGCACTAGAGAAGGCAACGAGTGTTATCACTATGTCAGAGACACGCTAGCTTTCCCAAGGCAGACCAACTTAGAGTGGTTACAATCATCTGGGTTTAAATCACGCTCAAATTGATTTGATATTAACGCAATATTTACACTGAAGCTCGCATGCAGTAACTATGGTAAGAGGCATGACATTTCCCGACCAGGCGCCAAGTGCTGCCAATCACAGCACACACTGGCCCAGCTAACCAATCACAGCACACACTGGCCCAGCTAACCAATCACAGCACACACTGGCCCAGCTAACCAATCACAACACACACTGGCCCAGCTAGCCAATCACAGCACATTTCGTATTTCAGAAGGCGGGCCTTCATTTGATACAGGAACTATTCGAACCGTTCATGGCAGACTGGGGAGTGAGGTGTTGTAATAATGTAAAATATGTGAAAAATAATGTGTTTTTCGAACAACCTAGTATGAGAGCCTGTTCTAGTACACAACCAAAACAAAATCAAGACTTTGTCAAAGAGCATAATAGGACCCCTTTTAAAAAAAAAAAAAAAAAAGCGTACTGACCAATCTTTTGAATGGTAGTGTAAATGTATGACATTGATCATGTGACTCTTTGAATAGATTTTTTTTTTCTGAAACCATGCTGGAGATCATTAGCAGATTTATATGTTAGACAAGTGCTTATATCAGACGAAAACAATCAGAGATATATAAAAAAATTTCCTGCTTGCCCTCTTGCAAGTGAACGGGAGTCGAGATTTTAAAGTCCAAAAAATGCATCCATCCATCATAAAAATAATCCACACGTCTCCGGGGGGTTAATAAAGGCTTTCTGAAGTGAATCAATGTTTTTGTGTAAGAAAAATATCCATATTTAAAACTTCATAAACTATAAAGCTTATAAAGCTATTATATAGCTTGGAAGAGCCAGGAGATTTTTTTAATATAACTCTGATTGTATTTATCTGAAAGAAGAAAGTCATATACACCTAGGATGGCTTGAGCGCGAGTAAATCATGGGGTAATTTAAATTTTTGGGTGAACCATCCCTTTTGATAGAAACTTTTCACAAAGTGGTCTCAGCCTTTTGTAGTCCACTGTATGTCATGTGACCTGATCTACCTCATATTGCTCCTGCAGTAAAGCATGAAAACACCACCTACATTTTACAGACACACAAAAGCTGAATAGATAAAAGGAAGCAGAAATGAATTCTGGTCTAGATATGACACAAGGAATTGAGTTTTCGATTTATGAGGCTGCAAAGACACAAAGTGCTTTTTCAGTATGATAAGGACACATGGATGATGCCGTTTGCTGCAAACACACATTACACAACGCAAGAAATGCGAGCGGACACAAGAGTTTGCCATATTGGGGGGGATGTGTCCTCATTTCTGCCTCAGTGGACTACTGCACTTCTCCTTCTAATGCTCGAAAGACAAAAAGCAGGTCATGGAAAAGTGGGACAAGAGTAACTTTTTTTCCTCCACCTCTTTCTGGGCCTCTGAAGGGAGGAGAGAGGTGGCAGTGAGGGAGGAATATCTGGGTCATCCCTCGTTCTCTTCTCACATCTCTCAGCAACTCTAGCATGAGACCAAATGCCACACATACAGTGTGGCAGCAATACTGAATGTTACCACTGGCAACACTTTATAATTTTGTTATTACTGCATGATATAATGCTAAATAGATTTTATGGTTGCTACACTACTGTGTCCAATGTTTCAAACACCTGATTTAGAATTTATTATTTAAACTTTTTTTAAACAGTATTTGAAACTTTTTGGAAAACAGTAATTTTTGCAATTCTGTTTGAACAGTCTGTATGATCATATCTCCAGCTGTGGATGAGAAACAATGTGGTTTGACTGAGAAGTATGAGGCTTAACTTTGAATACTGAACATGCCGTAGTGAGAAGACCTTCAAATCCCTAATAATGAAGTATGATTACATCCTGACTGACTGTGAAGCTGTTGAGATCTTGCTGTACTTGTGTGTGCGTTGGCCAGTGTTCTTTTGTGGGTCCTCTCTGAGATCTGACCTTTGAGCAAAACACCCAGTTGATTTACAAGGCTTAGACAGAGACAGATTGAGCTTTCCTCATTGCCAGACCAAACCATTTTTGGTGGCCCGTGTGATCATTGTGGAAACCGCAACTGCAATAATCACAAACATGTCTTCTGACCATGTTAATAAAAAGCAGGGCTGGTGGATAATGAGGTATATGTGCAAATATGGTGTAAGTGTCAGTTGTTTACAGTCGTCAAGCAGCATTGCATCTTGGTGTTTTAATATAGAATTCAACTAGTGTGTGTGTTTGTATCTGCTATTCTATTCTATTCTATTCAAACATGGCTCCTCAAATCAGGTTTGTATGTTTTTCTGCTTTATGTTATTTGGTTGTACCTTAAGTTTTATTTATAATAATGTAAAGAAGCTGTTTTTATTTATTAATTTCTTATAAATAGTTTTTTAAACCCCAAAAAAACAAAAAACAAAAACAAAGCAGTAATAATCACATGAAATGAAGCCCCTGTAAATGATTTAATTCACTGGATCATTAAAATATAGCCATTACTATAATAAAAACATTTTTCATTTTTCAGCAAAATAACACACTGTCAAGTATACCATTAATATGATATTAAATCACTATATATATATATATATATATATATATATATATTTGTGCTGTCAAACGATTAATCACGATATATTTACAGTATTTATGATATTTTGAATTAGCTTTTATTTTTAGAAATGTATTTTTAATTTTAAGTTTACGTTTTAGTAAATTTTGGATTTTGTAACTTTTATTTTTTTTATTTCCATTTAGTTTATTTCAGTTTTAGTAGTAATTTTAGTACTTCAACTATTTTAGTTTATCTCAGTGCCAAGGCAACTTCTAGGCATGTGTTTTTTTTTTTAGGTTTAGTTTTTCATCTAATATTTATGTTTTCTTTCTTGCTGTGCTGCATTAAAGGGATAATTATCTCTCTCTTTCTCTCTCACACACACACACACACAAATAAATACATAAAATGAAACCTTTATCAACAAAAAAAATTAATAAGAGGTTTTTAAATTTATGAAGGAGAAAATGATGACAGAATTCTATTCCTTTAAATTAGCAGTGCAGCTCATGAGGCTGAAGTTATTGTGCTTTGTGGTCCCATACTGTGCAGAGAAGAGGACAATGTTTCTGTCTGGTAATGGGCAGATAAGGAGCTCACCTGAACGTTCTCATAAAAGAGCACATCCGGGACCTTCATCTTCTCATCAGTGCTGTACACAGGAGCCGAGACGTTCCCTATGGTCAGAAGTCCATCTTTTACTGTGCCTAACAGGGGAGAGTAGAAATGAAAAAGAAAAAGTGAGAGATTCTCAAAAAAGAGATTTTATCAAACAAAGATGACTTATTCAGCCATGTCACTGACCAGCTCCTGGAGACACAACATGTTTTCTTCACAAAAACAGTCTATTTCCTCCCATCTACACTTTTCAGACACCACATAGTACTGTACTTCTGAAATCTAAAGTCTCTTACAGACAGCAGGGAAAATGGGACAAAAATATCACTGCAGGCTAAAATTACCGAGGAACCACTGAAGTTGGGGATGTGTGCAATTCAGAACTGAACTAAGAATGACTTTCCAAATTCAGCAGGATGCAGAATGGAAATTGAATTTAAGGAAGAAGAAATAAAAGGAATGAATCAAATTCAAAGAAATGAGTTTTCTGGCATTTACAAAACTTGGGACTACTGAAATTCCTGTTGTGTGACCGTGTTGAATTACTCCGTATTATAATTCAACATCCTGTTGTTGAATTCAATTAAAACTCTCATGGAACTGTAATGCGAGTTGTGAGTTTAGCTTAGCATTGGTCTGAACTCTGGTATGGTGTTGTACTGTAACTCACAGGTGTAGAGATGACTCTGTTCTGATGCTGGGTCAGGCTGATCCTCTATTGAGCAGTTCACCAGACTCTTCTGAAGAGCCGAGCGAGCCAGGCTGGGCAGAAACCTACAAATCCAAGAAAAATGATTCATTCTGTATTCACACATTTCACAGTCTCTTCTGAATTTCACAAGCAAAAAAAAGGAAATAAACATGGTTTATTATAGTAAGGTGTAGTGTCACCAGCAGCATCAATCAAAAATAAATACCTGTTTTCAAACAATATTGCTCAGTAACAACCAAACAGCACAAACTTGTGCAGAGTTTGTTTTATTTTGAATGTTATTTAGTTGCTGAGTGGTGACTTTGAGGCTTGAATGAATGTGTTTGAGTTTGTCTACCTGGACAGACAGGCTTTGTTCACAGCGTGAGCAACACTCTCCTGTGGATACTGAGAAAGACGCCGACAGATTCTCAGCAGCTGCCTGGTGGACAACGAAGAAGCAAGAGACAGGGCCTGAACACAGCACAAAAACACCAAACAACTTTTGTTTTACTTTTCATCTCAAAACCAAACCAAACAAAAAACACAACACACAAAACAAAAAACAAAAAAACAAAAATGACTTTTAAAGGGAAAAGGGTTTATAAGGAAAAGTGTTTAAGTCAACACGTTGTAAATCATGATGCATAATCATTTCACTTTAGAAGACATTAACTCATCCACTGAGGTTGTGTCAAATACCATTGTGTTTACTTTGTGTGGTTTTTAAAGCATCACCTTTGGAGATCATGTACATTTGCATAATATGGATTCATGAAAACGAATGATTTTTATAAGAATCTCAGTTTGTGTTCATCTTAAGTACTCAAGTCATATTCATCCGAGATGGCATTGAGGGTGAGTAAATGATGAGAGCATTTTCACTTTTGGGTGGACTATCCCTTTAAGAATTTTTTTAAATCCCTAAAATGGAAAAATATTAACTAAGGCTGCTGTAAAAGAGGACAATCGCTGATGCGCTCCATTACAACAGGATATTTAAGGTTTCTGGGACAGAGCTAACTTACACCAGTAAGCACTTTCTAAACAAGAAACCTTATGATGTGTTGTATAAACAGGAACACTTAACAAGGGTTCTTGGACCACTGGAGTCAGGGAATGGACCACAGTCTCTCCTTGCTGTGAAGGCATCGATTTGTTCTTCAAAGGTTTGGGGGATCTAACATCAGAAAGCTCACCGTAGGATCGTTGGATTTTCTCAGACTGTGAGTCAGGTGTTGCAGCTGCTCCACTGCTTCTTTGGGAACATTTGGGATCTGTTATGAAAATAATGTATACAAGACTCAAATCCAAAAAGCAAGTATCAAAGCTATATGATATTTTGATTCAACATAAAATGCAGTTCGTAAACATGTTGGGTGTAAGCAGATTTAATAAAAAACATTACTGAATTTGACATAATGGCGAAAACACAAAACAAAACGAAAAAAAATATGAAAAACACATGACAAAAAAAACTAAAACAAAACAAAAAGCTAAAAACAAAAATACAACAAAACTACAGAAGCCATATAACAATTTTCTGTGAGGAAATAACAGACTTTCAATTGGTTAGTCACCATAAAGCAAATATGGTGTATCAAGACCCATTTTTCAAGTTTGACATCAATATTTCTAGTCACCATTGTTTTGAATTTTGATGCACTACGTTTGCATTCTGTAATGTAAATTAGATTTCAGAACTTGAAGTTCAAGATTTTTGTGCAGACTATAACGGTTTTCTATTTTAATATGTTAAAATGTAATTTATTGTTGTGACGCAAAGCTGAATTTTCAGCATCATTACTCCAGTCTTCAGTGTCGCATGATCCTTCAGAAATCATGTTAATATGCTGATTTGCTGCTCAAGAAACATTTGTCACGTGTACGTTTCGGTCTAGTTCCTGTTTGCCCCTATTTGGTTCATTTCTTGCTCATTTAGTTAATCATCTTTCATTAGTTCCCACCTGTGTTGTATTAATCATCTCGTCTGTTATGAAAATAATGTATACAAGACTCAAATCCAAAAAGCAAGTATCAAAGCTATATGATATTTTGATTCAACATAAAATGCAGTTCGTAAACATGTTGGGTGTAAGCAGATTTAATAAAAAACATTACTGAATTTGACATAATGAAGGTGATGTGACTGACCATGCCCTGGATAACAGCCGTTTCCTCAGCCTTGGCCAGTGGTTTGACGGTGTGAAAGAGGAACATGGTGAGGATCTCCGGGCCGAGCCACTGCTGCGTGGTGCTCCCGACCTGAGGCGGCTCCGCTAAAGCGATGATCCGGAATGACGGATGGACTGGGAAGATGGATCTGTGGAGAAGATCAGCACTGGTTACTTTAAAGAGAACTATATTCTCCTTCCCAATTCCTGATCCATAATGGAGTAATAATTCAAAACAACAACAAAAAATGTCAATGCTTAGACAGATGTTACTATCGTGGCTGCAAACCATTTCTATATATACCTGTATACTACCAGTCAAAAGTTTTTTCTTTAAACAATTTTTTTTCAGCAATGATGCAATCAACCAACCAAAAGTGACATTAAAGACATTTATCATGGTTTCCACAAAAACAGTAAGCAGCTGTTTTCAGTAGTTTTTAACAATAAGAAATGCTTCTTGAGTTTCTCTGAAGGTGAGACTGAAGTAATGGATGCAGAAAATTCAGCTGTGCATACATGTATTAAATAAAATTTAAAATACATTAAAATATAAACAAATGCCTCGTTTGTAATGGGTTTTTTGTGTGCTGATGTTCATTAAAGTATCCCTACGTTTACTCCTTCCTCGTGCGCTCTCTTACTACAACCACGACCGCATGACAGAATCCAGGACACGTCACTAACAACGATGACATAAATGGAGGAACGAGCGAGGTTAATCGCCGTGGCACAGGCGAACCCTGACCTGATCGTATACGCGAGGGTGTTCGTGCCACTCGCCCTCGCCAGCTCCCTCGAGGGGGAAACCCTCGTGATGCTGTTCCGGATCGGGATTACTTACCATCGCCCCGCGGAGCTCCCAGACACCACCAACCTCGACTGGAAGGCGGAGTAATAATTCAAAACAACAACAAAAAATTTCAATGCTTAGACAGATGTTACTATCGTGGCTGCAAACCATTTCTATATATACCTGTATACTACCAGTCAAAAGTTTTTTCTTTAAACAATTTTTTTTCAGCAATGATGCAATCAACCAACCAAAAGTGACATTAAAGACATTTATCATGGTTTCCACAAAAACAGTAAGCAGCTGTTTTCAGTAGTTTTTAACAATAAGAAATGCTTCTTGAGTTTCTCTGAAGGTGAGACTGAAGTAATGGATGCAGAAAATTCAGCTGTGCATACATGTATTAAATAAAATTTAAAATACATTAAAATATAAACAAATGCCTCGTTTGTAATGGGTTTTAATGTTTTTGTCTCGTCAATCCGGTGTCTGGAGAGCCTCCGATCCTGATCCGGGACTCCTCTGCCGGCCGTTCCTCAGTCAAGCCCGCCGGCCGCGGCTTTCTCCAACCCGCCGGCCGTTCCCAAGTCTAGCACACCGGCCGCTGCGAAGTCAAGGCCGCTGGCCGTTTTTGTGGCAAGCCTGCTGGCCACTTCAAAGTCAAGCCTGTCGGTCGTGGCTCACTCCCGCCCAGAGTTCGCTCCAATGCCGGCTCCAGCCACAGAGCTCACTCCAGTGCCCGCTCCTCGAAAGCGCCTTGCTGTGCCTGCTCCTCCAGAGCACCCTCCAGTCCCAGCACCTCGTAAGCACTTCCCAGATCCCCCGTTTAGCCCAGGGAGGGCTCCTGATTCCTCGTTAAGCCCAGGGAGGGCTCCTGATTCCTTGTTTAGCCCAGGAAGGGCTCCTGATCCCCAGTTAAGCCCAGGGAGAGCTCCTGATTCCTCGTTTAGTACCCCTTTAATGAATATAAATGATATATTAATGTATATAAATAATCATAATAAATATTATTATTATTGAATTATTTTAATTACTATTATTATTATCACTAAATAAAAATAAATAATATTTCACTGTAAAAAAAAAAATTGTATTTAAGAATTAAGTAATATAGTAGTGCCACTTCATACTGAAACATGATATATATATATTTGCATATATATATTTAATTTATTAAAGTCTTTTGCCTTTGTGATTTGATAAATTTCAGTTTTATTTAGATTCAGCCCTAATATTACTGTTCCTTGTTTAGCCCAGGAAGGGCTCCTGATCCCCAGTTAAGCCCAGGGAGAGCTCCTGATTCCTCGTTTAGCCCAGGGAGGGCTCCTGTTCCCGAGTATAGCCCACCGAGGGCTCCAGTTCCCGAGTATAGCCCAAGGAGGGCTCCAGTCTCTGAATCTCCTCCAGAGCGCCCTCAAGTGCCCGCTACTCCAGAGCGCCCTCCAGAATACAGCCCTGCATTTCAGCCTGGGCCCGACGGGTCCCGACTTTTTTACGCCCCTCGGGCCGGGCTTCAGGCCAATTTTCACGTCATGGTTAAGACACGGGCCGGGCCTCTGGCCTATTTTAGGCTTCTCCTTATTTTTATATTTGAGACATCCATCAATTAGTGATGAAAAAATTGCCGTGCTGGTGGAAACAACACGAGACAGTGTTTATTGTCCCGCCCGCAGCAGTATGGTGCATGCCGTCAGCGCAGCTGAAGAGATCTGCATTCAAATGCGCATAAATAATATTTCACTGTAAAAAAAAAAAATAGTATTTAAGAATTAAGTAATATAGTAGTGCCACTTCATACTGAAACATGAAGTGCATATATATATTTAATTTATTAAAGTCTTTTGCCTTTGTGATTTGATAAATTTCAGTTTTATTTAGATTCAGCCCTAATATTACTGGGCATTTTTATAGTATTTTTGGTCAAATAAATGCAGTCTTGGTGAGCATAAGACACTTGTTTTTTAAAAACATTAACAACTTTTTACTAAATCCAAACTTCTGAATGGTAGTGTGTCTTTCCGAGGGATCCGAACATTAGACACAAATGACTGAAGTTTATATTCAAATCAGGTTTCTTTATGACTACTTTTTTATCTTCTTTTTAAATACAAATAATTAGCCAGTATTTCAGCCTGGGCCCGACGGGGCCCGACTTTTTTACGCCCCTCGGGCCGGGCTTCAGGCCAATTTTCACGTCATGGTTAAGACACGGGCCGGGCCTCTGGCCTATTTTAGGCTTCTCCTTATTTTTATATTTGAGACATCCATCAATTAGTGATGAAAAAATTGCCGTGCTGGTGGAAACAACACGAGACAGTGTTTATTGTCCATGACTGAAGTTTATATTCAAATCAGGTTTCTTTATGACTACTTTTTTATCTTCTTTTTAAATACAAATAATTAGCCAGTATAAGAAATAAGTTGGTATTGCATTCTGAACATAGCTGATGTGAAGTTATCACACAGACTATCAAGACAATGGAGCAGGTAACCTGAAAACAGACAGAGTCACAGTAACTGTCCTTCTTTGTTATGATTATGTTATGTTAAGATTATAATGTGTTTCAGGGGGCTGGCATAACCAAAGGCACCTGATCACTGATGACTACATGAGAACAAGAGGAGGTGAAGTCAGTCCATTCATCCGTCAAAGTAAATAGGATATGCTCATGTCAAGATCCGTGCCGTCGCTGATCTCTGGCACATTGATATTGTATCGCTGACAATAGCTTGCGCTCGAGCTGCATAGCCACCTAATCCCACTGGACAGCTCCGTCTATTTATAACCAGTGAAGTCCCCTGCATGAAATGCATAAATACACCTACTGACACAGAGAGAGCGATCGCGATTCTTCATTATCACACCATTTTAGATCTTCATCAGATCAACTGCACCTCTTGTTGCCTAGCAACACCTTCCTATCTTCCAAGTCCATGTCCCTGGTTTCAAAGACACCAGCTCCCATTTCTAACATTTACACATCATTACTGAATGTAGCACTTGTTAGCAGTAATCATACACAGGTGCACTGCTATCATCTTTACCCACAACGCTATAACTAATCTATAAGAAAACTATAAGACAATTTATGCAAACAAGGTAAAAGTGAAATACAGTGACCAGGGGCTGTAATGTCAAACAAAAAGCAAAAAACAAACAACAAAAACAAAAAACTAAATACAAAACAAAACGAAAAAAAAATATGAAAAACACATGACAAAAAAAACTAAAACAAAACAAAAAGCTAAAAACAAAAATACAACAAAACTACAGAAGCCATATAACAATTTTCTGTGAGGAAATAACAGACTTTCAATTGGTTAGTCACCATAAAGCAAATATGGTGTATCAAGACCCATTTTTCAAGTTTGACATCAATATTTCTAGTCACCATTGTTTTGAATTTTGATGCACTACGTTTGCATTCTGTAATGTAAATTAGATTTCAGAACTTGAAGTTCAAGATTTTTGAGCAGACTATAATGGTTTTCTATTTTAATATGTTAAAATGTAATTTATTGTTGTGACGCAAAGCTGAATTTTCAAAAAATTGCCGTGCTGGTGGAAACAACACGAGACAGTGTTTATTGTCCCGCCCGCAGCAGTATGGTGCATGCCGTCAGCGCAGCTGAAGAGATCTGCATTCAAATGCGCGCAATAAGCTTAAGTTTGCCATAAAGCACCGGCAAAAGTAATTACCATAAATGTGACAGGGGGAAATAGTAAGGAGATATGAGTTATTTACTAATAAACTAGTGTTTTCTGAGTCTGTTATCTTTCATTAGTTCCCACCTGTGTTGTATTAATCATCTCATTTGCTCCTTAGTTGCCTGCCCTTTATAAGCCCTCAGTTTCTGTCATTCCTTTGTCCTGGATTAATGTTATTTTCAACGGTTATTGTGTGCTGATGTTCATTAAAGTATCCCTACGTTTACTCCTTCCTCGTGCGCTCTCTTACTACAACCACGACCGCATGACAGAATCCAGGACACGTCACTAACAACGATGACATAAATGGAGGAACGAGCGAGGTTAATCGCCGTGGCACAGGCGAACCCTGACCTGATCGTATACGCGAGGGTGTTCGTGCCACTCGCCCTCGCCAGCTCCCTCGAGGGGGAAACCCTCGTGATGCTGTTCCGGATCGGGATTACTTACCATCGCCCCGCGGAGCTCCCAGACACCACCAACCTCGACTGGAAGGAGGCAGTAATCCGGTGTCTGGAGAGCCTCCGATCCTGATCCGGGACTCCTCTGCCGGCCGTTCCTCAGTCAAGCCCGCCGGCCGCGGCTTTCTCCAACCCGCCGGCCGTTCCCAAGTCTAGCACACCGGCCGCTGCGAAGTCAAGGCCGCT